AACAAGTCATTTATCAAAGGCCGAAAGCATTTCAGTAACCTGAGCTAAGATAAGTGAGCCTCAGATACTGATCTTGCTAGCCTACACCGACAGCTTTGTGCATAGTTATCACTTTCGCTCCTGCCTAGCCCTGCAGTCTGGCAGGAGAGCAAGGAAAAAGGAGAGCAAGGAAAAAGGAGAGCAAGGAAAAAGCTGTAGAGTTAATTACAATTCACTAAAGTGAATTATACATTTTTGATGAGCCACTGCAAAAAGTCGCATCATTGGTAAGAGCAACTCAAAGCAAAATACACAGAAATCTGGTCCGATTGATCCACGATGCATCATCTGGTAACAGCAGTAAACAGACTTATTTCAGGAGAATATATGTTGTTTTCAGCAGCTCACTCTCTACACTGACAATGAGCGGCTGCTCTTCCAATGATCTGATGAACAATTTACATTATTTTATACCTTCTTCCCTCCCAAGAATGGATTTTGAACATGGCTAGTACCAGCTTACCCCCTTTTTAGCTCTAACCTTTTCACTTCCAAATTCAATCAGAAACTATACGCTGCAAAGTAGTTTGATATCCACATTATCTCATACACTTTGGCAGACAGGAAAAAAGCAACACATTATTTTTCTACTTCTCATATTAATATTACTAAATCAATAATCCCTTGTTCTGTATTCTAAATCGGAAGTCAAGAATTCAGCGGGGCGGGGGGGGAGGAAAAAAAATTTAAAAAAGGTTCCTGAAACATTACTATATAGCATTTAAAGCCCTGTGAAAAGCTGGGATATAACAGAAAATAGTCTATATCGATGTAATAGCACAAGCATTCAACTTAGCTGCTATAATTTAGTTATTAAAATAACACTTCTACAGAAAATTATACAATTAATGAATAGATTTTTGAGGCAAAACACACAATTTACATTTCAGAGAGACACGAAATTAAATTAAATACCTCTGGGTGTTTATTGATTTTTGCTAGCTCTGCTGCTGTTTTCTCATCCTTAGTCCGTAGATTTTTGTCAGCTCCCAGTTCAAGCAACTTAAAAACTACACTTTTATGTCCATGCTGTGCTGCCCATATTAATGCCTGCAAAGAACAACTTTGTTTTACCAAGTTTATATATAGAGCGAAAAAGAACAGAGGTTCAATCAGCAATGCAACCTTTATAAGCTGGCAGCCTTTACAACATGGCAGAATCTGGAGACAAAGACATTTAATGCAAAAGAATCTCAAAGTGGTATTAAAGCAGAAGAAGATTCCAATGAGTGTTTCTGAGAAAGTTGTACTCAGAAATAAGTTTGTGGGTTCTTGTTTTTTAAAATTTTTATCATTAATTACAACACACAGAAGTAAATCACTTACGGAATACCCATTTTCATCTTGGGCGTTTATGTGTGATCCATGAGCAACAAGAAGAGCAACAACCCGAGGACAGCCTTTTCTAGCTGCATACATCAGTGGAGTCATTCGTCTCCTGAAAGAAAAGGGGACAGATGAAAAAAATTATTTCAAGATATCAAAATCCAACCGCATTACCAAGTAGAGCACCTCAATTCTGTAAAGATTCTCTGTTCTGTAAAATAACTAAGCAGAGGACACCACATTCACGCTTCAGCACAAGGGTCAACTTAACAGAATATAGAGCTTCAGCAACTCATTTATGTCCAGTTAGCAATTTTTAAATATTTTAAGAGTTTGCACTTATTTTCTGACTGAAATGAAGTCAAGAAGTCAATTGCTGTCCTCCATAAGAAGAAAACTTAGAGGATACTAAACAAGTCTCTTCCAGGAGTTTAGAATATAGACCTATAGCATTTCTGGGAGAAAGAGTGACAAAAAAAAATAAAAAAAAAATAAAATAAAATAAAAAAATCAATGTTTTATCACCTCTAAATTCAAGTAGCGCATTAAGACATAAATAACCTTAACATGTCCCAGCTATAAAACATGGTAGCTTGGTGACTAAACCATTTCTGTTTTGGTTCTGAACTACACAAAACCAGTGTTTAAAGATCACCCCTCCTGCTGCTACCACAGACCCAGCAGGCCTCTCATTCAGCACACACACCAGCTTTATGAAAAGGGAATGGGCATAACTGCAGATCACAGTTTTCAGCCTACTAAAAGCAGAGATTATCAGCAAATCACCCATTTTCTTCCCTTCAATTAAAAAAAAAAGCAGCAGACACTTCAATTTTTTAAATACACAGCTTAAGTGATGAATTCTACATACAGTTTAATTTAAATCCAAAGTTCTGAAAAGAAATACGTAGTTTCATGGTGGGCAAGTTGTAAATCACAACCAAATATTTAAGAGGAAGAATATTAAGAACAACCACCATGTAGGTACTGGTGAAAAGCTTCTTTGGTAAAAACAACGTAAGCCAAAGAATGACAGGTCACACAGGTCTCATGGGTGTGCACAGGTACAGTGTAATAGTGCAGGATGTACAAGTGTTACCAACATCCAGACCCCCCCGAGTATGCCTGAGAGGAGTCTTCAGAGAACTATATACAAATATCATACTGAAAATCTTAACTTTTCAAGTACTAAAGCTAAATGAACATCCAAATATTTTAGTCCTTCATCCCGTTTTCATTTCACCTTTCCCATTATTGTTTCTTTTTTTTTTTATATCCCCAAACCACGATGACAACAGTCTATCGATCTTATGCTTCTACGGAGATCCTTATAAGATGAAGCCACCATGACTTGTACTGCATATTTTGAAAGAAAAAAAAAAATTGCTCAAAAGCTTCTGTTAGAAAAGTACCTTTCCAGATGCCTGACACTTATTCTTTGGTGGAATAAGACTGCAGAATTAAAAAAAATGCAGCACTGGAGCAGAAAGACGGAGTTTCTGGTTGCTACGAAGCAATCAGATTTAAGCTAAAATATTTTACTAGTGACATTCAATTAAAATTTATTATATCTTAAAACATAATATTTTTTCCTGAAAAACAATCATGTGTTGCTTTTACTGTACAGCTCTGTGTCAAAAGACTATTCTATCTTGTTACGATATACTTGAGAGGAGGATCACTGTTTCCAATATTGTGTTTCTTACTAATAAGTTTAATATCGACCACTGGAGGGACCCCAAAAAGCGTATGGATACCAAAGGAGCTGTCTTAAAATACAGATTTCCTGCCTCCTTCCAGAGTATTGCTAGAACTAAGGCTTGGCTCACCTTTCCTTGTTATTGCTCCTTCACAAAAGGATAATATTCTGTCTTATGCAAACACAGTTCAAAGTGCACTGAAAAAAATCCAGCCATATTAAAAATTTGAAAGAACCTTATGATAGGGGAAAAAAGTCAATTCCTTGGAGATAAGCAAAATGAAAGGGAAGCAGGCCTTCAAGACATACAGTCAATACGAGAAAGGAACTTGGGAATGAAAATAAGAGACTTGCACCAGTCTACAACTAATTCAATTTAGTCCATCAACACTGCAAAAGCTGAAGTTCTGACTGAAGATAAGGAGACATTTTTATCGTGGGGCACAGTCAATCAGTGGAACTGGTTGCTCACAAAAGTTTTGTAGTCTCCATCTTCGGTGGGTTTTGAGACCAGATGGCAACCTAGCCCAATGTCATAGCAGTGGTGTCTTGAAGGAAGAAGTTGGACTAGAGACCTCCTGAGGTCCTTTCTGACCTGAATTACCCTGTGATCCTATGAAGATTACTACGAAAATAGAGAAAAAGACTACAGTCTGCCCCTCCAACCTGACAACTAACTGATGAGATAGCGAGATATAGGTATCTATATATAAACATATACAGGTATCTATAAATACCTGTATTTTAAAGAACGAACAGAAGTTGATTACAACTTAATAATTTGTAGCAACAGAAATCAAACTTGCTTGCCCAATTTGGAGCCCGACTGCCACGCTTATTTCTATTCGGTGGCAGGTGGCCTTTGACAGACTTTCCTGCTACCACCTTGGCAGTATTTACATCTGACACAAACCCAGTCCATTCATGCCTGTTTTCATTTTTGTTTCTTCTGCTCTCACGTTTTTGGGTTTTTTTTTTTGGTTTTGGTTTTTTTTTGGGGTTTTGTGGGGGGTTTTTTCCGTTTGTTTTGTGGGTTTTTGTTTGGTGGTTTTTTTTGTTTGTTTTTCTTTTGAACTTGCACACTGCTACTACCTCACAATTACCTTCTGCTTTTTCAGAGGAAATATACTGAACAAAAGTCCAGGGGCTACAGAACAGTCTTTTCTCCAAAGAACATCACGTAGTGATTACAGCTGTACAGTACTGCAGACATGGTATCTGAAATCAAGACAACAACTCAATGACATCAAAGCCACTGGAAAAGTTCCTCCATTTTTAAGTAAAACCCAATAAACACGACATTTAAAAGGTCCACCAACGTGAATACACAATTGGTACTTCAAGCATTCCATTTTAACGTTCGAGTTTTCATTTCAAAGGCTATAAGCTGTTTCAGGATAGAAACACATAGCGCTGCACAAACTTGCGACTGCCTTTACACACCACTGTACATGAGGGGGTACCGTTTAATGTCTCCACCCGGCGGAGCCAGCCCCTCAGAAAGCACGGCTATTTACGTGTATGGCCACAAGGGGGCGATCAGAGCATTAGGGAAAACAAATCTTGGCTTCCTAGTCCTGCCAAGAACCCCTCCAAACACAACAGCACGCTTTAAGATGCCAAATCCACTGTTTCTTGCTAAAGTTGAAGGCAAATTAAATTCAACAAGACCAAGTGC